AAGCGATTGCGAAAAACCCGGAAGTTACCATGAAACAACTAGCTAGCTTAGCTGTTACCTGCCTAGCACGTCCCGGTGAAACCTTTGGGAGCTAACTATTTTATTTGCAGTCATTAAATACATTTCGAATTACAAGGGTTGTCTAATATTTGTTCAAATTTTTTTATTCAATTATTTTGTTCATCCTTTTTTATTTTAGAATTATATTCGAATTTTGAAGTCCTGGTGTTCCGCAGCGCTGTAGGGGCTAGAGGACGCAGGCTGGTCGCTGCTCGTTCTGTGAGCGGAGGAGAAAGAGCGGCCCGCTCAGACTCTACTCAGCACTTTTCACTGCTTGTAATTCTTACACAGCTGAATCAATTACCTCAAGTTTTCAATTAAATGATGTATTATGATACAACTTGTATGTAGTAAAAAGCATTTTTATGAACTACTTAGAAAAAAAATCGGGTATAGCTTCTTTAACACTTTGTGGTTCTCTAATTGCGAAACGTTCAGCAATGTTGATCTCCTGCTTGCGTCAATTTTTCGCTCCTGCGCCTCTCCCTCGCAGTCCGTGCGTCTCTACGGTGCAGTCCATGCATGCATCCCGAGACGCACATGTAGTTCCACGCTCGAACGCGCATCACCATTGACTCTGCATTGAAAGTCGCCGCAACGCATGATCCGGTCTGAACGGGGCATAAAGCTTATAAGTCTCGATAATATTGTAACCATATCACTTATAATCCTCGGCCTAGAACAGGGGTGGCGAACACAAGGCTCTTGAGCCACATGTGGCTCTCAGCCAATCAGAATGCGCCTCTTTGACTCTAATCGAGTTTGAAGTAATCATATTTTTTCATAAATAAATATGGGTCAAAAGGCCATCTCTTTCCCTCTTTACCCTCAGAGCCTTTCACCTGGTTGAAATAGTTTGTCTTTAAACACGTTTTAATATTATGCCATATTCAAAGTCTCCTGTTCGTTGTTCCACAGACGGCTCCTCTGCCCCTCCCTCTTGCTGTCTGCAGCCGCAGCTCGTGTCTCTAGCGTGAGTGTACTGTATAGGAGCTCAAGTACTGCTGATCGTTCAAACATCCATCCGTCCATCCATTTACTTCCTCTTCATCCGTTGCTTCATCCCCCGGGTTGTGGGGGCAGCAGTCTAAGCAGAGACACCCAGACTTCCCTATCCACACACACTTCCTGCAGCTTGTCCGGGGGGAACCCAAGACGTTCTCAGGGCAGCTGAAAGACATAGTCCCTCCAGCGTGTCCTGGATCTTCCCTGGGGCCTCTTCCCGGTGGGACGTGCCTGGAACACCTCCCCAGGGAGGCGTCCAGGAGGCATCCGGAACAGATGCCGGAGCCACCTCAACTGGTTCCTCTCGATTTGGAGAAGCAGCGGTTCTACTCCGAGCTCCTCCCGTGTGACTGGGCTGGGGCTCTAAGGGAGCGCCCAGCCACTCAGCGGAGGAAGCTCATTTAGACTGCTTGTATCTGTGTTCTTGTTCTTTCACTTTTTACCCAAAGCTCATGACCAAAGGTGAGGGAGGAAAAGAAGATTGACCGGTAAATCGAGAGCTTTGCCTTTTGGCTCAGCTCCCTCTTCACCACAACAGTCCGATACTGCGCACGCTGCTGCACCAACCCGTCCATCTCACGCTCCATCCTTCCCTCACTCGTGAACAAGAACCAGAGATACTTGAACTCCTCCACTTGAGGAAGGACCAATCCACCCACTTGGAGAGGGCAAGGCACTTTTTTCTTGACGAGCATCCTTGCCTTGGATTTGCAGGTGCTGATTCTCATCTTAGCTGCTTCACACTCGGCTGCAAACCGTCCCAGTGCATGTTGCAGGTCCTGGTTCGTTGGAGCCAACAGGACAACAGTGTCCACAAACAGCAGAGATTAAGTCCCGTCTTCGAACCGGACCCCCTCCGGCCCCTGGCTGCACCGAGAAATTCTGTTCATAAAGACAGTGAACAGAACCGGTGACAAAAAGCCTTGGAGGAGGCCAACATGCACCGGGAACAGGTCTAACTTACTGCTGGCAATGCGAACCCAGCTCTGGCTCCGGTCATACAGGGACCGGACGGCCCTCAGCAGAGAACCCCGGACCCTGTACTCCTGGAGAACCCCCCAAAGGACACTCCAGGTAAAACAGTCAAACGTGAAATGTGGACAGGTTGGGCGAGCTCCCATGAACCCTCGAGTACAAACATAGTTTGATCTTTCTGTGATTTATGTGCTCATTTTGAGGCCACAGAGACCTCAGTGTGAACACAGAGCTGTTTACAGCTGTGCACCCTCCACAGAACTGAAGACAATTCACTTTATGTTTCCGTGGAAACCACTGCTTCCAAAAAATGGATAAAACAACATACATTTATTTTTCATTTGTTATACAAATTATGAATGAAATAAAAATAATTGTTCAAATATTTCTTTAAATGAAGTGGTTAGGGTTAACCCCAACCTATTAATTATCATTTAGAGTGAATCTATAGTATGTCCACTAATTCTTTGTGATGGAATGAATGAATGAAATAAATCAATGATAAGACATTCACATGATAATATTTGTTTCACAAGAATGCAAACACTAACCCCTTCTCAAAGGAGCCTAACCCTAATCCTAACCCAATTAGTTAAGTGTTAGTATAAACGTAATTAACCCTAACCCTTTCCTCATGATTGTGTTTATCTAGATTTACTCCATAAACTCTCTCAGTAGATTCTTTGTGTTTTACTCTCCACTGAAACACAATCAATGTTGGAACATTTTAAAAGTTACAGAACTTTAACGTTGGTGTTAAGTGTTTGAGTGAGTAAAGATGGCTACAAAAGCAGACTTTGGATAACAGGGTTAGGGTTAGGGTGAGACTACAGATTTCCATAAGGCTTAATTTCATGGACACTTTCACAGAGCTAATGTCTAGATGGTAATTTACCATCTAGATTAACATTTGTGCAGTGTGTGAAAAGGAAAAGAGATTGAAGCTCTGAATAGTCCACACCACACACTTCATTTCCTTGTGTTAATTTTAGTCTTTTTTATCAGCCTTTCTCTGCTTCCCTCTGATTGCTCACCTCCTCCTCAGCTGCACACTTGCCCTTGGGCCACAACACTAAAAATAATTGAAAAAGTGATCCACTGAGCCCTTAATGAGAGCTGGGTCTGGATCTCATCAGCTGCAGTGGAAAATGGGGCCAGTGTGAAATGTAATGTGAGGATGAGTTTAGTTCTAGTTTTACACTGTTGCTGTGTTAAAGACATTAGCGAATACAAAGGGGACAGAAGGTGTGTGGAATACGCCTATAAATTCTAATAGCAACCAACTATATATTTCAATGTTCACCAGGCTTTTGTGGCTGGAGTCGCATCTTGCTGAGTTGAAAGCTGGGGTACCTAACTTCCTCACCACAAACAAAACATTTTGCTAAGTGACCAATTCCTCGTTTGTCGTTCCCCAGTTTGGTTCTATGACTGGTTTTCACAGCATGTATGTTTGGCATCAGTCACATCAGATCAGCTTTTTAGGACATAAAAGTGAAAAAGAGAGGACCACTCTCACTCACCAATGAGGACCAATCAGTTCTCAGCCCAACGCCTCAAATAGTGACTCACTAGGCTCTTTCTTACACAAAAGATAACATCTTTCTAATAAGAAAGACAGAATGTTGGGGTCTGGGTGGTCCACAAAATGTCACTCTTTCTGTTGGGACAGAAACAATGTGAAAAAAAATCTACGTATCCCAGCTTTAATGGAGATCTACAGCTAGAACATATGACCTACAGGACACCTGTTTTAGGCAGGTGTTGAAATGTGGAAAGGTTGCTGTGTGGTTTAGACATGTGTCCGCTTTTCATCACTGCCTTATCATCCACGAGGAGAACTTTATAAAGGAAAGAAGAGCCGAGGTGTGTAAAATTCTTTTAACATAATGTTCTTATGCCGTGAATCTCGTGGCAGACAGTGAGAGACAAGAAAGAACACTGCTGTTTTCTTAAAGTACCACCAGATGCTGTCGATTTATTACAGCTCCACTTGTCATGGTGTGGGTTTTATTTTAGTATTTTAGTTTTATTTTGACATTGTTCTCTGTGATTCTCCCTGATTCCTCAAATATAAAGCCAATTTAAGTGTAACTATATTTGGCCCTGTCGTTTATTTTGAAAATCTTTCCACGCAAAAGATGATCATTTTAATTCTGGAGTGAAATCAAAGACATTGTTCCACACTGTTGAGTGCTGGACTGTCGCCATTGGCCGACCAGATCAGATGCAAAAAAAACACCTAATATTATGAACCGATCAACAGTGTATTGGTTCTACATCAAACGGCTTTTTGTGAAAACCGATACAGCATTTGTCTTTACAATACAATACATTCTTGTATACTATATAACAGCAGTTATCTCAGAGGACTTAACAAAACCGTTGAAATCAACAGCACAGATCAGAGAATCAAAAGTTAAGACACAAAAAAGAATAGAGCACATGCTGATAGATGTAGATACATACATGTTGTATAATTCTAGAATGTTAACGTGTCCTGGATCATCACCACATCCTTTTTGTTAGACACTGACTGTCCAACAGACCCTCCTACATCGGCAAGGAAAAACTCATAAGAAAAACCCAGTGGGAAAAAAGTGAGAAACCTCGGGGAGATCCACATTGAGAGAGGGATCCGCTCCATACGGACGGACAGGCTGTAGATCCAGTGCCCAAGCTACAGAACAAGGACCAAGGCCACGCAGCGGCAACGGGTGAATAACAATGAACAGACTACAGTCAAAATCCTAATAATGCAGACAGATATAGTAGGAAGTCTTTATGCTTGTACTGTTGTGTATGTCAGGATGTGAGTGCAGGGTAGATGCGGTTTTAGATCATTGCATGTTTTGTTTACATTTTCTTTTGCATGTTGCATGTGTTTAGTGCATGTTTTGCTTTTATCAACATTTTGAGTGCACCCCTGCACAAATGGACTGCTCCGCATTTTTAACCAATCAGAAACTTTCCCCAGTGGTGTGGTGTGACGGAATGATTGTTAAGAGGCAGGGCCAGGAAGCAGAGTCAGTGTCACCGGTGCGCGTGTGGACCGTGGACACTGGATTAGACTGACACCAGACCCCCCAGCACCAGCGGGGAACAAAAGGTTGACAGAGCGCTGTGCAGTGGAGCCGTGCAGTGGAGCCGTGCAGAGGGGCCGTGCAGAGGGGCCGTGCAGAGGGGCCGTGCAGTGGAGCCGTGCATTGGAGCCGTGCAGTGGAGCCGTGCAGTGGAGCCGTGCAGAGGGGCCGTGCAGAGGGGCCGTGCAGAGGGGCCGTGCAGTGGAGCCGTGCAGTGGAGCCGTGCAGTGGAGCCGGCTGATACGCCTGGAAAACAGCTAAGTGAAGGGACGTCTGCACGTGGGCTTCTGCATCGCAGAACTTGCTGATTTTAACTATTTGTGCATACACCAATTTTAGCCCTCTCCCCGCAGCTCCCTGGACTGGTGGAGGTGACGGGACTTTTAGCATGGCTATCGGCATCGGACCTTTCCTTTTGTTTTAGATACATTTTATAACTGACTTTTATCTTTTTCTTTCAACTTGTACAAAATAAAACTGTTCATTTTTTTCCTATTTTGTGAGTTGTGTTGTATGGCCCGGGCTTGATTTTATACAGTTGCTATTAAACTGTGACATTTAATTGGCGTTGCTGAGCAGCTGGCCCTTTCCATACAACATAAACATGCAGGAAAATAACATAAATGCAGGGGACAATCAAGCTGTTAATACAATGGTTATGCCGTGGTTCATGGGAGTGCCGTGGGTGCCCAAGTTTTCAGGTGTAGGCGATCAAGTAACGTTTGGTGAATGGTTGTGGCAAATTGAAGCTATGCTTAGAGCGCAAGGCCTCAGTGAACAGCAAAAAGCAGATTTTGTCATTGGTGCATTAGAGGGCAGTCCTCGCAGAGAAGTTTTATTACTAGAACCCAACTTTCGGACCAACGCCACGCACATTTTAGAGCATTTAAAAAAACTGTATGGGAAACAGGTCTCGTTAGCACAGCTGAGAGCCCAATTTTTCAAGTGCCAACAACAGCAAGAGGAAAGTGTAGGGTGTTTTCATTTTACGTCTTCGTGAGCTCTTTAATAGGTGGAAGGACAAGGAACCAAATGGCAGCGCACAAAATGAAACCGTAGCGCGTGACCAATTGATTATGGGCCTGAAGACTGGACCTATTCAGCAGGAGCTCCAACGACTGGTGCGAAGGGAGACAGACCTGAGCTTCCATAATATCTGTGAAGAAGCCCGGGCCCTTGAAGGCGACCACACCTTTACTGAGCAAGCTTGGACTTCAAGGGTAAATGCACCAACACCCACCCTCAAATCTGACACTTATGATTGGAAAGAACAATTTAAGGCTGATATACGCCAAGAAATGCAGGAGCAACTTACAACCTTAAGTCGTACCCTGATAGACGAGTTTAGACAGCAGTTACTGCCCACATCAACTTATTCACGACCACGTGGTGCATTTAGGAGACGGCCCCCGGCTCATAACACGCACTTTCAGTGGGACGATCAAGGCAGACCAATTTGTACACTGTGTAAACAAGCAGCTGGTCACATTCAGAGATTTTGTCCGACCATAAGCCAGCCCCCAAATACTTTAAACTAGAACCCCCAGCGACCGTAGGGCAGGTAGCTGGGGAAAAGGCACCAGAGACTCTCAAAGACAAAATAGTTGGCTCATGCCCAGGAGTGGAAGTAGTGGCTTCAGGAGTTAAAATTCCCTGCATTTTGGACACTGGCTCTCAAGTGACTCTTTTTTCAGAGACATTTTTTCATAAGTGGTTCAAAAATGTTCCCCTAAGAAATACACAAGCGCTAAAATGGCTGACACTCAAGGCAGCAAATGGACTACAAATACCATATGTGGGTTATGTTGAACTGGACTTTGAAGTTGCTGGTGTTCAAGTATTAGACAAAGGTGCAATCATAGTGAAAGACTCTTGTTTGGGGGCAGACAAAGCTATTCTTGGGATGAATGTAATTTTTAGTTGTTGGGAGACCATTTTTCAAGGAACACATCCAGGAATTAATGCCTTCAAAGTGACTGTGTCTTCTTCGGACTACAACCACTGGGAGCGAGCATTTGTCGTGTGCAATAGTGTTGCCAAATATGAGGCAACGGATGGGAAGATTGGAGTGGTCCGCCTGCCTAAAAACACCACAGTTGAAGTCCCGCCCCAAAGCGAAATGGTGGTGTGGGCCAGCGTCCTAGGAGCTACGCAGCTTCCCCACGGAGATGTTCTCGTGGAAGGTGAAACAGAGGGGGGAGAGTGGCAGGTGGCGAGAACGCTCTGCAGTTTTAAAGGGGGTAAGGTCCCTGTGAGAATACAAAATGTAAATCCTTACCCTGTAAGTGTACCCCCAAGACAGGTACTTGCCTCTGTCTTCCTTTTGTCTTCTGAACAGATCTGCAGCAAACAAGATCTGGTGCTGACCCCCACAGACTCTAACACCATTGAAGTGGATGTCCGGTCGACCTCACCCCTCCACCCGCCACAGCCAGTCCGTTTCAACTAAACTCTGTCGAGCACCTCAACCCAGCCCAACTGCACAAAGTGGAGGAGCTGCTGCAGCGGTGGAGCTCAGTGTTCGCAACAAGTGAGGATGATTTCGGCCGCACAAGTGCAGTGTTGCATCAGATCCCAACGGGGACTGCTCCACCAAGCAGAGAAAGGTACCGCCCTGTCCCCCCATCACTATACCCAGAACTACGCAGTTTATTGCAAAATATGTTAGATCGAGGGGTTGTGAGAGAAAGTGCTAGCCCCTGGGCTGCACCCATAGTTCTGGTGAAAAAGAAAGATGGGTCATGGCGCTTCTGTGTAGACTACAGAAAATTGAACGCTGTAACACACAAAGATGCTTTTCCCTTGCCTAGAATTGAGGAGTCGCTCACATGCCTTAAACAAGCGGGTTGGTACTCCACCCTTGATTTGGCTAGTGGTTATTGGCAAGTGGAGATGGACCCAAACGACCGGGAGAAGACTGCCTTTACCACTCCACTAGGCCTATACGAATTCGACAGGATGCCGTTCGGCCTCTGTAATGCCCCAGCCACATTTCAGAGGCTGATGACCAGATGTTTAGGAGGCCTTGTAAATGACTATCTCCTAATCTATCTCGATGATGTAATAATATTTTCCCCTGACTTTGACTCTCATCTCTCTCACCTAGAACAGGTGTTTCAGCGTCTGTCAAAGCATGGACTTAAACTTCAACCACAAAAATGTCATTTCTTTCAACAAGAAGTGAAATATTTGGGCCATTTAGTGAGCAAAGATGGGGTAGCAACCGATCCAGACAAGACGAAGGTGGTCCAGCAGTGGAAGCCCCCAGAAACTGTAAAAGAGGTTAGATCTTTCTTGGGTTTTGTTGGCTACTACAGACGTTTTTATCCCCACTTTTGCCAAAATTGCAGCACCATTACACTCCCTATTAAAAGGTAGTGCTGCCCTAAATAAAAACCAAAAAGTCACATGGTCCCCAGAGAGCCAAAGAGCTTTTGAAAAACTTAAAGCTTCTCTTTTAAGTGCCCCAGTGCTTGCTTATGCTGACTTTTCTATACCCTTCCATCTCTACACAGATGCAAGCTTGGAGGGGTTGGGCGCAGTTCTGGCCCAGGTGCAAGATGGCCGCGAGAGAGTTATCGCGTATGCAAGTCGGAGCTTACACCCAGCAGAAAAGAATGACCAAAATTACAGTTCCTTTAAGCTGGAGCTTTTGGCATTAAAGTGGGCTGTGACTGATAAATTCAAAGATTATTTGTTGGGAGCCAACTTTGTAGCCTACACAGACAATAACCCTCTAGTGCATTTGGACACACAGCCCACTTGGGAGCCGTAGAGCAAAGATGGGTAGCCAAATTGTCAAATTACCAGTTCACCATCAAATACAGACCCGGTGTGGAAAACAAGAATGCAGACATTTTGTCTAGGCTCCCACATAACACTGGATCCCAAGCTAATGACCACATTGATGTTATGGCCACAGATGCGGACGATTCCAGAAACTGGTGTGAGGACCAACAAAAGGACGAAGGCCTGAGAACATTCTGCCAGTGGATTCGGCAAGGCAGCAGACCAACAAAGGAGGCGAGGGTCGAAGCACCACCAATGGCCCGAAGCCTCCTGAGACATTGGGACAAACTTGAAATACATCAGGGTGTCCTGCGACGCGCCGTGAAAGACCCCCTGACGGGTGATACATTCTATCAGACTGTGATCCCTTCGTCATGCCAACATTCATTATGGGATACATATCACTCATCCTGTGGACACATGGGAGCAAACCGGATGGAGTCTGCACTGAGGCGATCCTTTTTCTGGCCACACATGGGGGAGGACATACGCAAGTGGACAACACAGTGCGCCACCTGTTGTGAGACTAAAGCCAGGTCGGAGGTAAGAGCCCCCCTCCAGCCTATACAGTCCTCCTACCCCCTTGAAATTGTCGCCATAGACTTTTTGTCCTTAGGGAATCCTCAAGGCCCGTACCCGTATGTTTTAGTGATGACTGACCTATTCTCAAGATTTGGGTGGGCAGTGCCAACCAAGGACCAAACTGCCAACACTACAGCTCAAGCACTCTGGCGACATGTAATTCAGATATGGGGTTGTCCAGAGAAGATACTATCTGACAGAGGATCAGCGTTTGAATCTCATGTGCTTCACAAACTTTGTCAGGTGGATGGATGCAAAAAAGTGCGCACCACTCCTTATCACCCTCAAGGTAATGGGGCCTGTGAACGCTTTAACCAGACTCTCTTATCCTTGCTTGGTTCGTTGAGCGATGAAGAAAAGGCTAGATGGGCAGATAACTTGCCGGCTCTGCTTTTTGCATACAACAACACTTCACATAGCGTCACTGGCCTCACCCCCCATTTTGTTTTGACAGGACGTCATGCCCGGCTGCCAGTGGAAATTGCAACAGGAGCCCCATCTGACTTGCAGAGTTACCACATGCATGACGGGGTGGCCCACCATCATCACACATTGACCAAAGCCTACAAACACGTATTGACCCGAAGTAAGGCACAACAACAAAAGGACAAGCAGAGGTATGACAAAACGGCACATAATTTACCCCTACTTCCAGGAGATAGAGTGCTGCTTAAAAACTTTCGCAGACATGATCAAAATAAATTGGCTCCTCGCTGGCAACGGTCACCATTCGTAATAGTCGGCCAGGTTGACCCGGACTCTCCTGTGTATGAGATTCGACCTGAAGGACAAACCGGGCCAATAAAGACAATGCACCGCAACAACCTGAGGCCCTGTCCCATAGGGATCTGTGAAGACCCGCCGACTGAGCCCACTCGCACAACGACCCTGCAACGACCAAATGCCCCGCCACTATTTTTACCTGTGATGTTCCTCTTACAGAACCACAGCCGGCTCAAGAACAAGCTGTAGCTGAGAATGAACAGGCGCCAGACCCACCAGTACCAGGGCCCCCCCAAGAAGTAGCAGTGCTGAGACGTTCACAGCGTAGTAACTTGGGTAACCCACCTGATAGGTACAGGGAATAGATAAGATAGTCGGGGACGACTACCTAAAAACTGGGGAGGAATGTCAGGATGTGAGTGCAGGGTAGATGCGGTTTTAGATCATTGCATGTTTTGTTTACATTTTCTTTTGCATGTTGCATGTGTTTAGTGCATGTTTTGCTTTTATCAACATTTTGAGTGCACCCCTGCACAAATGGACTGCTCCGCATTTTTAACCAATCAGAAACTTTCCCCAGTGGTGTGGTGTGACGGAATGATTGTTAAGAGGCAGGGCCAGGAAGCAGAGTCAGTGTCACCGGTGCGCGTGTGGACCGTGGACACTGGATTAGACTGACACCAGACCCCCCAGCACCAGCGGGGAACAAAAGGTTGACAGAGCGCTGTGCAGTGGAGCCGTGCAGTGGAGCCGTGCAGAGGGGCCGTGCAGAGGGGCCGTGCAGAGGGGCCGTGCAGTGGAGCCGTGCAGAGGGGCCGTGCAGAGGGGCCGTGCAGTGGAGCCGGCTGATACGCCTGGAAAACAGCTAAGTGAAGGGACGTCTGCACGTGGGCTTCTGCATCGCAGAACTTGCTGATTTTAACTATTTGTGCATACACCAATTTTAGCCCTCTCCCCGCAGCTCCCTGGACTGGTGGAGGTGACGGGACTTTTAGCATGGCTATCGGCATCGGACCTTTCCTTTTGTTTTAGATACATTTTATAACTGACTTTTGTCTTTTTCTTTCAACTTGTACAAAATAAAACTGTTCATTTTTTTCCTATTTTGTGAGTTGTGTTGTATGGCCCGGGCTTGATTTTATACAGTTGCTATTAAACTGTGACATGTACATATACAGTATTGCATTGTTGATCTTTGTTAAACCATTTGTATGGGTTTCTAATGCATTTTACTTTTGAATAAACAGATCACAAAACATTTGGAGTGTAGAGTGCTTTCTCTTTTTTTCTATAGTGTGACGGAAGCAAGACTTCAGAATCATCATGAGGTGTAACTACAGTCTGCTTTAGCTTTCTGATAGGTATGTAATAATTTTTACTTATAGTGATAGTCTGGAACTTCTAAATGAATTTTGAACTTAATTTTTTTTTTAAACAATTTGTATTAAATTGACCACCTAGCCTTAAATGTTGATACAAAATAAGTAATTCCATGAATTCTAATATTACGGGTAAGTCCCGCCTTCCCTTCTCTTAGCCATAGCTCAAAATCCAAGATGCCGTCCACTTTAACCAATCAAGTGATGCCAAGGGCTGTCAATCATCGCGCTCGTGTCCATATATAATTCAAGTATCAAATATATTTATATCCGAACGACTATTAGGCAGCCCTTAATCTTAAATGATATATATAAAATAGTTAGTTTCCAAAGTACTGGAGAACATACTGGAGAACGGACAATTAGAGACTGAGGTCTTCAGAAAGTCCACTCACACTGACCAGTACTTGGCTTTTGATTCAAATCATCCGCTACAACACAAACTCGGGGTCATTAGAACGCTTCAACACAGAGCCCACCAGGTCCCCACGAGCTCGGAGGGAAAAAACAGAGAAACCAAACATGTTCAGAGAGCACTTTCCAGATGTGGCTACCCCAAGTGGTCTTTTACTAAAGCCCAAAGGACGAGAAAGGCCAGAGACACAGTCCAACAGACAGAAGAAAGTAGGAGGAGAGGCGTGTCCTTACCGTATGTGGCGGGAGTTTCAGAGAAACTACAAAGAATCTTTAGGCAACACAAAATCCCTGTGTATTTCAAACCTTTCAACACGTTAAGACAGAAATTAGTGCATCCCAAAGACAAAACACCCAGACACAAACAGAGCAATGTGGTGTATTCAATTAAATGTAGTGAAGAGGAGTGCACTGACCACTATATTGGAGAAACCAAACAAACTCTACAGAAACGACTTTACCAACATCGTAGAGAAAACTCTAGTGGGCCACAGTCGGCTGTTCATCTCCACCTCAAGGCCTCCAACCACACGGTGGATGATACAGAGGTTAAAATTCTGGCTCGGGAGAAGAATTGGTTTGAGAGAGGGGTGAAAGAAGCTATTTTTGTGAGGAAACAGAAACCTTCTCTTAACAGAGGAGGAGGGTTAAGATTTGTTTTGCCTCGCATCTATGGACGACATCCTAAAAAAACAACGCCCTAACTTGGGACAAGGTCAGTGACATGCTAATGAGTTAGGAGGGGTGAAACCTGCACTCCACTTGAGCATCCCAGCAGACAATAGGTCTGTGACATGCTAAGGAGTTAGGGTCGTTAGCCTCAGCAGGGTCGTTAGACCTGCTCCCTTCTACATCAAGCAGACCTGAGATTGTTTACGAGTTAGTATCAGGGTTAGGGTGTGGCTTACCACACCCATAGGTTATAAATCTCCAACGCGCGGTCCGAGAATTCATTCCCTGAAGAAGTCCCCAGGTTGAGGACGAAACGTCGGGAAAACTTGCTAAGAAGTACAGATGATGGGTGAGAAACCTTCCTTTGCTTTAGTTTCCAAAGGTTTCGCCCTGACGTGGCTAGACCATAGACTGCAGGCCAGACAGGTAACAGCTAGGCTACCATACTAACTAGAACTCTCTGGAACTCCATGAAAACCGAACAATGAATTCTGAACATCAGCGGTGAGGTACCCAAATATAAATTCAACCTAAATCCATAATCAGATCCTCTGCAAATGGTGTCCTAAAATGTTCTACCAATGTTAATAGTTACTTCCGGGTTTTCTCCTGCGCAGACTATGTTTTTAACCTTTAACATGTTTGCACCTCTGTCTTTTGCACAATCTGAGTGATTCTATCTTTGCCAAATGTGACATGTACATTTCTCTGGTGTGAGATCAATGAAGTCTTTTTTATCTTATATACGTTCGTTTAGGGATATGCTTGAGCTATAGAAAGTGCTACTGAAAAATGAGAAATACTGTGCAAATTATTTTACCTTAAAAAAGGCTGCAGCATGTTTTGGGCTCCACTTTCCTTGTACTTGGGCTAAAGGTTGTGGATGCTGCACTTGTCCCAGTGCCAGCCGTGTCTGCATATCTGCGCATTACACTGATGCATGGGTGGTTCCTGCATTTAAGGAAGATCTGATATCACAATATAAGTAATTCATATCGGTCAATAACGTTTTTTTTTTTTAAACCTAAATAAATACATTTTTTGTGTCAGCTAACACACGTTAGCAGCCTTGTTTACAGTCAAGGGGGAAAGGGGCTGGAGGAATGTGTTCCCAAGCAGTCTTCCTGGTATAATCTGGTTTAGTCCTGGTTTAGCTCCTGTTTTGGCTGTTTTTCAGTGTCTTGTGTCCCCGTGACGGCTCCGTGCAGCTCTCTGATAGCCGCACGTGCTTCCAGAGGAAGAAGATAATCTCCTGCTTTCGCCGCATGCATCGAGTCTCTGTGTCCACTGCCTCTAACGTGCCGCACGTGCTATTCCTCACACGAATGTGCATAACTATTGACACAGCATTGAAACACGATCTGTATATCCATGGACGCAATATGGTGCGGTTGTTGTTTTGGCATTTCCCAGAATGTTTTGAAGTTCTCCTCTGAGGGATGCCTACATCCCCCAGAATGCCGCGCGCCTCTGACTAGGCTTTACTTCCTGTGTTTTCTTCCTGTTTTTTCTAACGGAGTGAAGTTGAACTATCAAACATTCTAAAGACCCCGTTTTCTATTGATATCGAACACGTATCTATTGCGATATATATCGTTATACTTTTATTGCCTAGCCCTACTTGAAAGTAATTTTATGTCAAGAGAGTTTGACCGCGGCACAAGTGCGACTTTCCTTTGTCTGTGACTGACCTGCAACAATCTCATTCTGGCTCATGGAGTGTCAGCGAGTCCTCAGTAACAGCCGAAACAGCCATACACGCCGCACGAAATGCGTGCCCGTTCTATCAGCGAGGACCGCACAAGGAGAGACCTTAAGGTCTCTGCGCTCTATTGGTGCGAGAAGAGCCGCTCTCACTTGCTGCACTCCTGGTGTGTACGGGCCTTGAGCGTTCATTGTATTTTAACGGAGGATCTGAACTCCACGTTGAGTTGTTTACAGCGGCAAAAGTGTCGCATGCGCCTACCACGATCCGTCTCTGTCTGGTTCATTCTTGACACGCCTTCCCCTAGTAAACTTATGGGTAATATAGTCTCTGCTCTCTGTAATGTCTGCTCTCAGTGAGACAAAGGAGCGAGCGTTCATTGTGAAGGGAGCTCTGAAAAGCAGTGGAGCAGCTAAAGAACCAAAACAGTTGTGCAAATGAGCGTATCGGTCATAAAGTAAGTACCGGTACGTCAAAAGTACGTTCTTTCCTCACGGAGAGGTGGCGGTACGCACAAGAACTATTTTTGGAAGTGCTGCCGGCGCATACCGACCCACTTAAAGATGCAATCAGTGATTTTTTCCAGATGCATTTTTCTAAATAATGTGGGAAAACGTTCCTTAACCCTAAAAGTAGGCAAGCTTTCATGTGTTTTCAAATAGTATTGGAATTGACCAGATGCCTGAAGTCTCCAAAAATTTATAAAAAATATTTTAGATCGGGCCGATAAAAATAATTCAAAGGGATTCATTCATCCCCAACAAACCAATGGGATGTGTTGACCCCCTTCACCCTCTTTCTGTATATTGCGAGTGCGCGCACCTGAGTGTTGTGACAGGTTTGGTGGAGAGGTGAGGGGAGGGGGGGAGTGGTTTCGAGTTGGTGCTACGGCTAAGCTAACAAAATCGCTTGCGGCATCTTTAACCCCTTAAGCTCGCAAGACGGACTCCGATTCCTCGAGGGTAAAGGCCTCCAGGAAGTAGCAGGGTGTTTCTGTCCAATCATGTTGAAGCATTTTCTGTTTCTAGGCAGGATTAGCGTTCCAACTATGCCAAGAAGTACAAGATTGGTCCAAGATAGATGTAGACTAAGACGTGTGCGTAAAAATGAGTTGTACGCACGGAGACGCTCGAAGTGAGTTTGCATAAAACATTTGTATGTTTTTAATGAAAAAATGCATTTTCATGACCAAATATGTAACAGCCTCTAAATTTTTCAAATTCATTGAGATATTTCACATTGTACTTTCTTGTGCCAAACTGTGCCAAATGCATTTCCGCCTGGATTTTTCACATCAAAACCTGCATAAATTGTTATTTTTTTGGTATCTAAACATAAACTTTGCTCCAAGGTGTCAGTAAAAGGTTGAAGTTGCATTTGATTATGTTTATTTGCTTCTTTACAAGTAAATATGTTATATATGCATCAATGTATGTGTTTTTTTAGGCAAACCAACCTTTTTTGATATTGTAGCCTAATGTACTTGCAAACTATTGTAGACATGAAAATGTTCACATCCACAGAATCCCCAAAGACTAACAATTTGAGTAAAATTTCTAGCATTTTTAACAATGTTCAGGCTGTGAAAAGGCCTGTATTGTACTTACATGTATATGGGAATAGGCCTGAGAGTTTAAGAAGTTAAAGCACTATAAATGTCCATACATGTTGTAGAATGTTAATGTCTCTCCATGGCCTCGCACCAGGGTACTTAAGCGACTTGTTAGTCCCATATGAACCGACCCGGACTCTGAGGAGCACAGGAGGTAGCCTCTTACTGGTTCCAAGGGTCAGAACTAAACATGGGGAGGCAGCGTTTGAGATTTATGGAGCTAAAATC